GTCGCCGTCTTTAGAATATTGTCTTTGAACTTCCGTTTTTGCGGTCGCTATGTATATTTCTATGGCATCGCTGTCCAGGAGTAATTAGCTGGTGAAGTTGATTTACTTATTGTAGAGTTAACGAAAGTTATGAGCATTGTAATGTTTATGATAAGCATTGTAAAGCATATGTCTTAACAAATGGACCTTGGGAATTTTTTTTTTTAACGAGCCGTTCATTCATAACTACGCAAGATCGATGTGAAAAAAATACAGACCGGAAGTCAAAAGACAATAAGCTCAGCGCGGAAAAGGGGCGTGGCTACATAAGGTCCATAAAAACCTATTTTTTTACAGTCTATGATAAAAACCTAAAAGATCACTGGATCTTTAGTTCTTTTCTATTCTGTTCCAATTAGTCAGTTTCAGAATTTTGGGTTTATCAACCGGGTGATATATTTCCACACTGTAATGAATTGCTGTAAAAATAACCGTATGATTTACAGTGCAATGGCTGTATTTCAATAATACAGTAGATTACTGTTAACATGATGCATTCTGGGGGCACACGGCAGTTTATTAAACCTTCTAATATGGCATTTGTTGATTGTTTGGCTGCTGTTTTGGAGAGATCCGTACTGAGGGCAACACGACATCAATGTACTTAACTAGCTTTTCCTTTGCGTTTTTGAAGAGCTTGCGTTTTCAGGCCCCTCAAAACGCCATTGTCATGTAAAATATTAATCTATATTCAGATAATCATACAACAACAAAAAATCTGGGGGCCATGAAACTTTTGTGAAATTTTTTAAAAACGCTGGCGAGTTAATAATTACAATACTTTATACACTCCCCATTAAGAACATCTATACATATTTACAAATAATTTAACATTTCATAAAGTTTGTTCAAATTATTTTTTTTAAAGTTTATACAATTTAATATAAAACTAAAAAAACTTTATAGTGGTCATCAAAATATTAATTTTGATGTGAATCAGACAGCTCTCGGATTTACTCAAAAATATTTTTATGTGTTCTTAAGATGAGCGAAGGTCTCACGGTTTTGGAACGACATGCGGGCGTGTAATTAATGACATAATTTTCATTTTTGGATGAACCCTTTAGATAATCAAGTAAAATCACTTACACTCCTGAAAGCACTTCATCTGCAGCAGTGTATTTGAACACCCGGAGTGTTGGAACAAAGAATGGAACTTCCTGAAGAGATTGTGTACTTTGACTAATAACGAAACCGAATGAACAATGCCTGTGATAATTAACATGTCAAATAAACTCATTACATTGTTCTCGGAGGAAATGGGGAAAGTTGGCGTGCTTCAAAGTTTAGAGAAAGGAATTTCCTTTTATCTGTGCCAAGATTTCAACACGTACAGTATGTGAAACGGCACACACACGCACGGCACGTTCTCTACGGTTTTTGGCTATTTGCCTGTGTATGTATATGCCATGTGCAGTTACTTGCTGACTTATTCGAGATTGTTTGGCTAAGCATTGAGTTTATCATCCACTATGAGTTTATGGATATTCACAGTTCATTGTCAGTTTGATGCCATGCATGATGCAAGATAATCTAAGGAAATTAGGTTAAGTAGAGAAAAGGGTTACACTTTTTTATTTTAAGCTGTATTTCTGTGTAATTATGCATTTATAATAATAACATACTGAATAATAATACTGCCCTACAAAGCAAAAAGGCAGTAACTACGCAGAGTACAGAACAGAGAAAAATGACTTTAAAATTATCCTGTCATCCAGCCTAAGTAGTTGTAGATTATTGGACATGTGGCTGTTTTGTTACTTTATATTAGCTTATTCTTTGTACATATCAATCCTCATATTTAATTTGATATTTTACCCCTATTTTGCAGTTACTGTATCCTTGCTTTGTATTACTTACCAAAAACGTGGCACCATACCAAGGAAAAAGGCAGTAACTGCAGATTCTCCAAAAACTATTTTGCCACAACTTGGGCTCTGGGTGTGTTAGATACCCTGTATTTGTAATAATTGGAGCCATTTGGACAACATTTTTTTTCAACATTTTTGTGTTGCGAAACTAGTGTTGCGGAGCGGGTGTGTTACGGATACGTGGTGTACATTTTTAGTAATCAAAAATCATGTCTAATTAATTGAAATCATGAAACTTTTATTATAAACTATTATTAAACTTATACAATATTTTAAAAATATTCTATGAATATTAAAAATAAAATATATTAAAATTCTAATATATTATTAATTATATTTCTTTTAATCATATGAAATTAAACAAACATTTTTGGTCAAACAACATGCATTGCTGCACAATGAGCTTTACTGTTAAAATTAAAACATTGAATAAAAAGTTTTAATCTTAATTTATTTGTATTAGTGTTAGTATTATTACATTGAGACGTTTCTAAATTCTACTGTACAACAGTAATATATTAGCCTAGAAATCTAGACGCACCCTAGCGGCAGCGAAAATTATTTCGCAGCCAGTGTGGTCTAGCAACTCTCCATAGGCTTTTGAGCTGTAAAAACCAAAAACTGGTCAGGCCAATCACATCGTGTATAGAGTCGGCGGGCGGGCTTAACACAATGACGGCACAGTTCATGACGTTCCGCGTGATTTCCATAGGTGATTTTCCTGCTACTTGAAAACTGCTTGAAAACAATGAAGATGCAGCGGTCTTTCGAATCGGCTTTGGCCGCGACTCTGGAGGACTTGGAGTTAAGAGAACGTCACTTAAGTCATTCTTAAAAAAGGAAGATGTGTTCGGAGTTTTACCGACCTGATACGGCAAAAGTTTAATATATCAATTAGCTCCGCTGGTGGAAAAACGCATGGGACTCACTCATCCACAACCGTTCGTTGCTCTGGTTGGTTGTAGCGCTATCCTATTGCGTGCAGAGGGATTTTGAAAGGTAACCGTTTATCCCGCCCCTCGGATTGAGGTATGTCAATGGAGAGTTCCCAGACCTAACATCTTGATGTAGGTCTGGCATGCCAGGCTAGTAATATATTTCTGTCAAGTTAAACCGAACTTTTATTTTGACGGGTTGACGTGAAGACCTTTGAGTTTCTCTGTTTATGACATGACGATAGTTTTTCTCAAATGAAGCGGTTAAATGCTCACCAAGTGACTTTAAGAGCGGATCTAGAGTCTGGAGAGTAAGTTCATGCAGTCGTGTCCTATTTTTCCGAAGTGAACTAATTAGTTTTTTGCTCTCAAACTTAATGTCGAATCATTTTCTTCTCACTTCTGGGAATGTTCGATTAACAGATGAAACTCCATTAACCCTCAGGTGCTCTTCGGTCATTTGTGACCGAAATTTTTTCTGTTTTAAATTTTTAAAAATCACAGCTTCATCGGAATGTTACGGAACTTGGTGACTTTTATTGCATTGGGTATGTGAACACACAAAAAAATTGAGATCATGATCCGAGCAGGCTAAGTGGATTAAAAATGAGTCACACTTTTGCTCTTCTGTCAAACATGACCGACCATAGGAAATGAATGGGAAATTGACAAAAACACAAAAATTCTGAGAATTTTTGTGTGTACAATCTACAAATTGGCCACGATGCAGAAAAAAAGTGCTCAACAATGAAGGGGTGACACTCTAAAACATCAAGAGTGCAAAACAGACACACTCACCCACACACACACACACACAAACACACTTTTTATACACATACACACCAATGAATTGACCGACCAAATGAATGGGAAATTGACAAACACAAATTCTCTACAAATCGGCCACAATGCAGAAAAAAACATCAATAGTGAAAAACATAACATAATTAATAATTATAATTAATATATATATATATATATATATATATAATTATTAAAATTATTAAAAGAATAATTAATATAATATTTAAACAATAATAAATTAATATGTTTTAAAATAATAATAATAATACAAATAATAATAAGCTGTGAAAAACCATTACAGTTTATTTTTGTATTTGTTTTATTGAATTGTAATGTTACCTGTAACAAAATGCTTTCTCTGTATTCAGGTTTGACTGTAGTAATAATGCAAAAACGTGTACACTTCACATCAAATTTATTTTAAAAAAAAAAGTATAAACCATGGCAAAAAATATTATTTGAGAATAAAAAAAAACACACATTCAAATCCACATCTTAAAAGTAAGTTATTTTGTCCAAAAACTATTAGAGAATTCACAAGCCTCTCCATAGAGAGCTATACAGGCATCTAGTGGTTACACTATGAAACGACATGTTTTATTTTAATTTCTCTCAACAGATGGCGCTAATTTGACTTCAAAAATTGGATTTAAAAGCCCAGGTCTCTATATTAATCTGAAATACTGCAATAACTGAAGAAATATTTTTATAAATTAGGGAAAAAAAATTGTTTTATTGTTTTCAATGGCAAAAATGGACCATAAATATTAATAAGTAACATCAAATTGTCTCAAAATACCAAATTAAAAAGAAAAAATATTATTGAACATAAATATGCATTGGTTTTACTGGGATGGAGGACATTTCATTTTTAGGTGTCCGGTCACTTCTGACCAGGAAGATAACAAGTGTGACTCCGAAACAAAGAGCACCTGAGGGTTAACTGCATCTGTAATATGCTGCCAAGGCGCTTCCTTTTTTTTAGCACCCGATACGCCACTATGTACGCTTGAAAATAAAATGTGGCGTTTTGAATGAACTTCTGATAATAAAACTTCAATTTCTGCATCTGAGAATTTTTTTTTTCATTCGCATTTATGTCATAATTTGATGCCCATATATAGTTTTCAGTCGGATTTAATGGGCGGGATTTATGGTAATTGAGAATGAACGTGCACGCGCATCCCATTTACGACTGATTGGAATTCATTAACACACACACATTTCACGATCACTTCTGACGTTTACGAAGTATTTGTGAATCAGGAGAAGAGTTTTCGGGAAGTTCTCTTTACGCGCAAATCACTCGCATATTTACTCGTATATTTACGAATGTTTCATCGAGACCCATTGTATTTAGAGATTGTCTATCAAATATCCATCTTATTAGAAAATAACAGTTAGTCATACTAAATAAGTACACAGACCAGCTTCATATTCACCCGTCCATGAGATATTTACAGTATAGATAATGTCCAGGTGAATGTTCCTTTCATTTTGGTGATGTGCTCTTCATCTGTTCAGCTGAGTGTGATGTCACCGGAGTTTGTCCTGGCTTTATTTCTGCAGTATCGGATCAGCAGCCCAGCGATAGTCAGCAGTGACACCGACCCTACAGCGGGCAGTATGGCTACGGGCAGTATGGCTACGGGCAGGTCTGGCTTTTTCACCAACTTGACTTGTGCTAGAATTAAAGGGCAAAGAATCGCGCATGTTTACGTTATGTCCATAAATACAGGATAGAATGTCAGGCTACTACGATATGCACTGAAAGTAGCTTAAAGACACAACAACTGAATCTGTAGCTGAAAGGAGTTTGCGAGCAAAAAGGGAAAATAACAGAAGCTACCCGTAATAAAACACGAGTCAACATATTTGACCACAGGAGTTGAGTCGTTGTCCAATTTGAAAAGTTGAAAAATGAAACAAGCTGATTCATAATATTAATAAAAACTATAATAGTCTATAAATACGAAAATAAGACTGGTGCAAAGTGACTTCCCATGCAAAGACATTTACTAAGCGAAATCTCCAGAAATGTAACAAACTCACCTTCGACTGTAATGTTGATTGTGCTTCTCTCAGTGCCGACGCCATTTTTTGCTTCACAAATGTAAATCCCTCCGTCTGTTATTTGGACTGATGGGATGTTTAAAAGCACAGCTGATTCGTTCAAAGCTCTCGACACAGCGCTCTGAGACTGTCTATACAGAGTGAGTCCTGCGGACCCATCGTCTGAAGAACACAGTATGGTTATGTTCTCTCCTTCTTTTGGGTCTCCTGTGTGGCTTAGCTGGATTTTGGGGATGTTTGGAGGACCTGCATTTAAATGGAGGTTAAGGATCATGGACAGGTTTTAAAATGGAGGTTAAAGATCATGGACCGGTTTAAAATGGTTTGACAAGACAGCTAATTTTATCCTGAGTTAATTTACCCACCTAGAACAATGACTTTTACCCTCATTTGCTGGCTTCCCACTGCATTGCGTGCATCACAGCGGTACCAGCCTGCCTGAGACCAGGAGGCGTTATTTATTATGAGCTTCTCATTCTGGCTCTTGTTCTGTGCAGGTTCAGTCTCCTCTTTCCACCACAAGATTGTTGGTTTGGGATTTCCATCTGCATGACATGTTATCTCCAAATGTTCACCAAGCTTTACTGAATGATTATTATTGGAAAGTGTAATAGTCCCTGGACCATCTTAGAAAGAAATGTAGAATTTTCAATTATGACAATTGAAAAGTAATTTAATTTAATTGTTAATAAACTTGTATTATTGAATATTCCGTGTTCAGTACAAGTTAAGCTCAATCGACAGCACTTTGACATAATGTTGATTATAAATTCCCACTTATTTTACCTTTTCTTTAAAAATAAGCAAACATTTGGGTTAAAAGGAGGTGCTTACGCTGTGGTCACGCTAGACTTTGAGCAAGCAAAATTTTTACGGACTCTGCAATGACATCAAACTCTGCTGCTTTTTTAAAAAAAAAAGTCAACATATAAAACATCAAAAATGTAACAATATGCAATCTACTTCACTTTACTGCAATGCTGCACTTCTGCAGATTTAAAGTTTGCGTTCTTTTAATTTAGCTAAGATCTTCTATTGGCCACACGTCTTCACAAGAGACAAATTCATAGGGCAGAGTTCACCAACAGTGAAATCCGTACAGGTTTGCATTTCCTGTCTCCAGCATTTAAAGGGATAGTTCACTTTGAAATGAATTTTTGGTATGTTTTAGCTTACCTCAAGGGCATCCAAGATGTAGGTGTCTTTGTTTCCGCAGTAGTTTCAATTTTTATATTTTTAGATCAAACCGTTCTTGTCTGTCAGTCATATAATGCAGGTCTATGGTCACCACCTCAAAGAGCATGCACAGAGTAGTCCAAATGAAACATGATTTAATGACTCGTAAATCTAAGTACACATTGATGGCCTAAGACACGAAACGAGCGTTTTTTGTGAGAAAACGAACAGTATTTATATCGTTTTTACCTCTTGTAACCACAGCCACGTCCAAGTGATCTGAGGGCGCGGGCGCTTCGGTCTGCGCAAGCGCCGGAAAGCGCCGGAAGTGATCTCTCGTGCGGTTGCGAAAAAAATTCAACGTTGTCTGTTGATATATCGAAATCGTCTTCCAATGCGATTTCCTGTATATTTAAATATGTTTAGATATTCAAAGTGAAAGGTAACACTTCCGAAATCTCTGTGTAAACAATGAGTGACGTACACGCGCGAGAGATCACTTCCGGCGCTTGCGCAGACCGAAGCGCCCGCGCCCTCAGATCACTTGGACGTGGCTGTGGTTACAAGAGGTAAAAACTATATAAATACTGTTCGTTTTCTCACACAAACCGCTCGCTTCGTGTCTTAGGCCATCAATGTGTACTTACATTTAGGAGTCATTAAATCATGTTTAATTTCGTCTTCTCTGTGCATGCTCTTTGAGGTGGTGACCATAGACCTGCATTATATGACTGACAGACAAGAACGGTTTGACCTAAAAATATCAAAATTGAAACTACTGCGGAAACAAAGACACCTACATCTTGGATGCCCTTGAGGTAAGCTAAAACATACTAAAAATTTATTTCAAAGTGAACGATCCCTTTAAGGGGCCGTTTACATGACATCGTTTTCAACTAAAAACAGAGAACTTTTTATGCGTTTTGAAAACGATACCGTAATTGTCTCTGTGTAAACCACACAAAATGTGAATTTGTGAAAACGGTAACATCATGCGTATTACGTGTTCAGTCTCTAGGCGCGTAGTTTCTTTACAAAGTGACACCACCATCTACTGGCCTGGCAGCAGAATACAGCGTTTTTAGTCGTTTTCATGGATCTGTGTGTGAACTGGGATCGTTTTGACAATGGTGTCGCCTGTACGCGAAAAATGCAAAGGAAAAGCGTTTCAGGTTTTATTATATTGTTGTCGTGCAAATCTCGCGTAGCCAGACTTTCAGACTGACGACAGAAGGACTCCATAGCAGTGTTATTGGCCATGGACCGCCCAAGAAGACGTCTGACTGACATTGTTCAGCATCATGTTTGGGGGCATGAACATGCAAAATCAATGTCCCAACAATAATAGACCGATGTGCAACCATAGGCGTAACTTGCGGGAGGAACATGTCCCCACCACTTTTTGAAACATCTTGTGGCACAGATGCACCTAATACAAAAGAACCATTTGATAAGCCAATTGTTTGTTAGTGTTAAATAAGAGGCGGTCTGGCGCTGGGATGTGTTGTCTTTGAAGTCATGATGATTGTTCGTTGTTGCTGTTATCAGTGGCGGAAGAAGGGAACTGTGCTCTCTTGGCTCTAGTGCACAGTCCAAACAGATGAATGCTTCAATCTATCGCTTAACGCCGTTGCGGATACTATTTGTTCTGGTGAAGAGATGCAGTTGGCTAGATGTAAGGATGGAACTATCAAGTCAAGTCACCTTTATTTATTTAGCGCTTTTAACAATACATATTGTTTCAAAGCAGTTTTACCGTGAAAACAGGAAAATAATGCAACAAAGTTTGTTTCGGCTGTACAGCAGCTAAAATAGCGTCATATCCAGCTTAAGTAAGTTCAGTGATGGTTTTTGTTGTAAAAAAGTTATCAATTTAGTTCATTTATATATATAGCCACTCTGGAGAAAACCGTGATGTCATCATCAAGCTCAGTTCAGTTCTCATATAATGGTGTCAATGCAGGCAGATCAATAATATTATTAAATATCACGTTCAAATAACAGGTTTTTCACGGAATAATTAATGCATGTGCTGTATTAAATCAACATTTCTGTTTTTAAATCTTCTAAAAATTGGCCACATTCTCTTTCATTTCACTTGTACTGAACCCAGAATATTCATTTAATAAAAGTTAGCCAAGTGTTTCTCTACAACTTACATTCAGCATTCGAATTACGAGTTTTTTCCAATCCAATTTCAGTGATATTCAGTGTTGCCTTGCAACTAATATTCTTGCCGAGATCCCAGACAGATGGCGTATAATTGAACACAGAGGAATAACTCTGAACACTATCGGAAGGAAATCCTGTGTCATCCACATGGAGTGTCTCATCTCCACGAAGCCACTCAATTTTTATCCTTTCCACAGGGTAAACGTTGTGGACTGTGCAGTTGAGCGTCTGTGTTTGGTTTGCTATCAAACTCTTTATTTTGCCCAGTACAGGATCTTGTGGAAATGCTGCAAACAATAATCTTCATCATAACAGCATTCAAATCATTTACACGTTTATTTTTTCACTCCCTGTTTAAATCACAAAACAATAAAAACATATTTACCATAGTTGAAGAAACACTCTGTTACTGTTAATTTGCTACTGCCTAGTCTAATTGATTCCAATTGTTTCTGATAACATTTGTATCACTACTTAGACAAGCAGCATTATGTAGTCAGTCATTACAAAAGAAAAGTACAAAAGCAATTGGAACAACAATAAAACTTGTAAGGAATGTAATCATTAAATAGTAACTTCACAATAATAATATGAATAGTTGAAATGAATAATCACGGTCAAACTGGATAAAGTAGGTATTATTAACAAGGAATATTTAGGTTCCAAGCAGCATAGCCAGTACAGAAGTGGATAAATAAATCCTAGTAACTTATAGGCCTACTATTAGCTAATTATAAATGTTAAAATGCCTTATCCATTAACTCAAAATCATGTCTAACTGGGAGAACTGGAGAAACATTACTTACAGAACACTTTTATATATGACGTATTCTCTCTGGAGTTTCCCTCACAAGTAGCTTTACACACGAGGGCAATATTGTGTTTAACTGTGATATTCCTGATCAGCAGGCGGGAAACAGTCTGCTCATTTTTAGATATTCCGCCGTGAAAGTTGTCCAGTAACACTCTCCACTGGAAGGTCACATTAACTGGACAAGCATTCACGCGACAAGTCAGCTCCAAATCCGCACCAACATGATTTACTGGCATTCGTGGAGTTAATTCTACTTTAAAATCATTTTTGTCTGTAAAAAAATTATGCAAAATAAATGTCTACTGTCAAAATTATGAAATGTGGAAGGTTAAAATTCATTAAACAAAGTGTAAGATAGGTCTTCTTACCTGTTATTACACTGAGAATATTAATCCACAGTGCAAAAGTTATGCATTTCACTCCACACATCTTTCTTTCGTTTCTGCGTCAATTCAGCATGGGTTCAGAATTTTGTTGGATATTCCCAGACCCCCCCTTCCTTTTTACTTTCTTTTTCTTCAACAAAAACAAATCCATTTGGCTCACTTCTCTGTCAGACTTTAAGCCACACCTGCTCACATTTTCCTCATATTTTCCAAATTGTGCATATAATAAAAATCATACTTTAATTTCTTACCTCCAATAACCGTGTATAATACTATACAATAAGGATCCATTTGTTAACATTAGTTAGCATGAACTGTGATTTAAAAAAATATATATATTCTCTTTAACCTTTATTTAACTGACAATAGTGCAAAGGAAAAATTTCCAATGTTCACTGACCAACTTTATTGTATTTTGTAAATATATAAAAAAAAATGTTTTTTGTATTTTGATGACTGCAACACATCACTGTGTCACATCACCTTTCCTTTTAAAAGATAATGAGCTGAAATGAGAATGAGGACTGACATCTCTCTCTTTTCATATAGATTACATAAACAGAGAATATTTATTTTTGTTATGAATTAGATAATTTAAAAGTACACACTTAAATGATTGTAAAGCTATATAGCTTGTGCCTTGGTGAATAGTTTTCGCTGAGTTTTGTTTAAGTTTAGAGACGTGCTCCAAAAAAAAGTTCACAGAGATGGAGAGCCAGAAAGCACACCCTGTTTATTTTTTTTATTTTACAAAAGCACAATGTTTTATTTCGATTGTAAGTGGACACATAAAAAAGAAGACATTTAACAGTTTATTTTTTCATATTTCTTAAGTCTGTATGACCAAAAATGACGGAGTATTTTAAGTCTATTTTGCTGCTATGTGAAAAAAATCGAGCAAAACGCGCCGTCGCGTTTGCCGACCCCAGAGGGTTAACAACCACTAACGACACTCACGTCGGCAACCACTAACGACACTCACGTCGCATGTCACAACTCACCCACCATCTCCTCCTCTGAAGTCAGAAGTGCGGCTCAAATCGCTCCGTGCCGTTCACATCCCAGGCAACTCAATCATGTGGCCGACACGCTCACACAACAGCTCTACGCTTCCGGGAGAATGGAGACTCTATCCCCAAGTGGTCCAGCTGATATGGAGTCGATTCGGGGACACACAGGTAGACCTGTTTTCCCCCCAGGAGTCCTCCCACTGCCAGTTGTCCTATTCCCTGACCGAGGGGACCCTCGGCATGGATGTACTGGCTCACAGCTGGCCCAGGGCCTACGCAAGTATGCGTTTTCCCCAGTGAGCCTGCTGGCACAGACACTGTGCAAGGACGAGGAGCAGGTCTTGATGGTTGCGCCTTATTGGCCCACCTGGACCTGGTTTCCAGCCCTACCTGGCAGATTCCCCTGAGGAAGGAACTGCTTTCTCAGAGACTTGGCACCATATGGCACATGTCCAGACCTCCACGTGTGGCTTCTGGACAGGACACCGGCGGTGGTAGACACTATCACTCAAGCCAGAGCTCCCTCTTCTATGAGCTTATGCTTTAAAGTGGAGTCTGTTTGCTGAGTGGTGTTCTTCTCTGCTGCATTTTCGGTCAGCGAATCGTACCTTGAGTTCGGGCTGGCCCTGTCTCACATGGTCCTGAGACCCCGGCCCAGATATGTGCCCAAAGTTTTCACCACTCCCTTAAGGGACCAGGTGGTGAACTTGCAAGCACTTCCGCCGGAGGAGACAGACCCAGCCCTTGCGTTGCTGTATCCCGTTCAGTCGATCAGCCATTGTACTGGGCTAGATGCCCATATGTGTAGTCTTCCATTGTATGGTTTCCCTGTCGGTAAACCCCTGTTTTTCCCAGGGCAGTTTCTTCTCTGCCTCTGCATTGGTAGTAGTTTCATCCCTGTCTAGGCAGGACCTACCGTAGAGATCTTTCCATTTGTAGCACTGCCCTTTGGTCCATATGTTTATCTCCCACATGTTACCTCCCGATGTGCAGGATGTGGCCTTCGTAGCGGAATTGAAAGGGAATTGAGAACGAAGCACTCTTCCCGTGAAACATCACGTAAGAGGAACAGTAGCTACGACCGTCTCCAGGGTAAGCTCTGTCCCTTCCATCCCGTTGGTATGGAGGACTATTTTTCCTTGGCCTTACATGGGGCGCTGGGTAGGTTACGACTGTGTGAGGGCAGTTGCCAAAAGGGCACGCTACAGCTTGCTAGCATCTGCGTCTCCAACACATTCGTAGCACAGTTCAGTGGCTGTAGCACTTTCTATAGGGACCCCAATACGTTAGTATCAACGTAACTTTGAGACTGCAAAGGCTAATAAAGGGAATTTATGTTTAGTACAACAGAATGTTGCTTGACCAACCTAAATAGGGTGAGCTTGACCTTTGTTTATTGTATTATTACCAGAGACTATTTAAATAGAGACATGCCACTTCCCCAATCCTTAATACAACTATATAGGGAAAACCCGTAACGCCAAAGATGGCAGTTGTATGCACATGTCCCGCCCCTCCCGCTGGAAAGCCAATCGTCTGCTTTTAACAGTCAAGCCGGAAAACATTTAAGCCTATCGTCTGGTTCCACCGACGCATGCGCACAGTTGAGGTTTGCGACAGCGGAAAATATGTTACTGTTTGAAAAGGCGGCAGATTTGATGTGTTAGTTGTGTAAATATCAGACATCCCAAGACTCCCGGAAGTTCCGGGAGTCTCCCGCAGATTGATAGCGGCTCCCTGATGACCGCAAATTAGTTCAAATCTCCCGGAATCTAGAGCAAGCGAGCAAGAGCTCGCACATACTGTGCTTCAAAACTGTGGAGTGCGCGCACGAGAGAGAGGGAGAGAACCCTTGCGCATGCGCAGTAAAAGTATAACCTGTGGGGAAAAAGGCGTTTTAAACCTTATTTTGGGGCAAAGTCATCACACTTTTTCAGCGATTTTTATCATATTTTATTAGTGTTTGTATACATGCAGTTTTTATGTCCCGGTGACCAGTGAAAGTGCAGTTCTGGGTCTCTGCCCATTCATTTAGATAGGAGTCTGGTCTTGTTAGTCCGAAATAGCTGCCCGGAGGCGTTGCCAAGATGGCGGCCGAGTGGCATGACTTGCCTAAAAGGACTTTGTTATTACTAAGTACGTTTGAAAAATAACTGACACTACTGGAACTTCAAACGGGACGGGTTCTATGGACAGATGAAACAAAAAAAATAGCTTTTTTGGCAGCAAACACTTAAGGCCCTGTCCACACGGAGACGCGTTTAGCTGTATACGTACACATTTTGTATCATATTGGCGTTTCGTCCAGACGGATCCGGCGTTTTGGGACACTGAAACCGCTATTTTTTGAAACCAGGTCCCAGAGTGGATAAATCTGAAACCGACACCCTTGCGTTTTCGTGTGTACGGCCAATCCGTACATTTTGTGAAACGATGATGTCATCACACCACGTGTCAGCATTAGTCACACACCGCTACGTCACACGTAACAGCAACAACAATGGCGGACTATATGCTTGTGTTCGTGCTGCAGAAGCTACTGAGCCTATTAGCTTTACTAAAGCAAAATCTTCTGCTCCTATGCTACTAAGTTGAGCAATCTTCGTCTTCACCTTGCTGTCGTGTTGGGTTCATTTAGAGCGCGCAAGGTTATGCGCATGCTCCAAGTCTTCTCCTTGTTTAGTGTATCTCTGTGGCAGAAAATTACAGCGCCACATATTGGTCTAGCATGTATACCACATCGTTTTCAATCGGTTTCAGTGGTTTTGTGTGTACGCATATATTTCTTGAGACGATGCCGTGTTTACGAAAAAAAAATTTAGAACGAGGAAAAAAAAGATCAAATAGGGAACGCTCTGGCTTCGTGTGGATGTGGCCTAAGATGGGTTTGGTGCACTGCACACAGAGATAAAAAGTACCCCATGTGTAAAATGAAATACTCTGATGTATCTTTAATGCTGTGGGCCTAATTTTCTGCCAGAGGCCCTGGACATCTTGTTCAGATACATGGCATCATGGATTCGATCAAATACCAACAGATAAAAAATCAAAACCTGACAACCTCTGCTAGAAATCTTATAACGGGCCATGTTTGGATCTTCCAACAGGACAGTGATCCAAAAACAAACATCAAAATCAAAACAAAAATGGGTCACTGAGCACAAAACTGCAATGGCCATCCCAGTCCCTGACCTGAAACCTATAGAAAATGAGTGGGCTCTGAAGAGAAGAAGCGCCAACATGGATCTGGGAATCTGAAGGATCTGGAGAGATTCTGTATGGAGGAATGGTCTCTGATCTCTTGTCAGGTGTTCTCCAAACTCATCAGGCATTATAGGTGAAGACTCAGAGATGTTATCTTGGAAAAAGGAGGTTGCAAAAAGTATTTAATAAAAGGGTGCAAATAATTGTTCCCAACTAGTTTTGGAGAAAAACATTTATTTCATAATGTGATTTCCCCCTCACTTTCAATTATTTTACTTCAGTGAAAGGTTAGATTTTTGCAAACTTTTTTAATAAAATGTCAAAAGGATTAACAATGCAGATTTATTTTTTACAGCCATCTTTGATCATATTTGGGGCAAATTCTCCATTCTTCATTTCCCAAGGTGTAGCTATTCTCCTACATAAAGCTATTCCATTTGTACACTTAAGGGTGCTCTCTAATTCCTCAGGTAGATTTGTCATCGTTACTAGGCAAATGCATAATGTCAATTCACGCACCTCATGCCGATTTAATACTTGGTTACTTTTAAATGAGGACTTTATCAGTTTTATCTCTCAGCAAATATATTTTTTTTTTATTAGTGTGAACAAAACTCCAGATGTCTCTGCTGCTGTTTTGTGGGAAAGTCTTAAAGCCTTTATTAGGGGGGAAATAATTTCATATACGGGTTACGAGAGAAAACTGAGGGCTGAAAAGTTATCTTATTGGTAAAGTTAATATCGCCGCTTGATAATTTTATGCCACATCCCTGTACCCATATATATATATAATATATATACACTCACCGGCCACTTTATTAGGTACCCCATGCTAGTAACGGGTTGGACCCCCTTTTGCCTTCAGAACTGCCTCAATTCTTCGTGGCATAGATTCAA